GGGGAGTGACAATAAGAAACGTCAAAAAGATGAAAAAGCATACTACAATATTACAATATTGCCATTGGCAGTCCCCCATACAAAAGTACATGTTTAGCCCACCCATGGCACACACTTGGACGTTGGAGTTGCGGCTGTAGGCACAGTGGATGGCACTTGATGGCGCGACGAAGAGAACCCTTGTTACACTTAGTCTAATTGATAATAAGATAAATTTCACTAAAGGAAAAAATGATGAACATGAACAAGCAAAAAGGAATCAACAACCCTGATGGTTTTCCACCACCTAAGAAAAATCATACCAATCACAGACATGTTTCAAATAAAGTACTTAGAGTTCACTCCCCCAAAAGCTTATTAGGCCTCAATGCCCAAGTAATGTCTCCGTTTATCCTTTTAATTGCACTCTTCATCATGCTGTAGATTATTTTCTCTTTCTTGTAATTGCACAAACACTTTTTTTTTTTGCATTTTTCTCGCCCACTAAAATAAGTTAATTACACACCCAAGCACTCTGAACTTCTTTTTTGCTCACCTTGTTTAGATCAATCTCCTTGTGTATTAGAACAACTTCATCAACAGAACTGTCAAATTAATAATCTTCCATCACCTCATCCCCCCATGATACCATCTTCTTCAACAAGATCCCTTCTGGATTCTTCTCAACCATCTCCTGTTGGTTTTTGTTCTATACTTCATGAGCTAGCACAGCCTTATCAGAAATTCGAGAACAATCCCCAATAGCTAGCTACATTACAATCTTTAGTATGAATTTAAGTCAATCTTGATGACTTGATCATTTCTAGCATATTCTCATGATTACTAAGCAAAAGACAATTTCCCCCAAAATTCTTCATACCACAGAAGAAAATTATTATGAAGGAGAGAAAGAGTTGCTGAAACTGATGAAAGGATTTTTTTTTTGTTTTTTTTTGTTTTTTGTAACTGATGAAATTCAATTTTTCCTAAAATTCTTTTTTTTTCTATCCCATGGAAGAAACTAAGGAATTATGAAGTTAGGACGAGTTGCTGCAACTGGTGAAAGGATTTCTTTTTTTGTAACTCGTGAAAGGATGATGAAACACAGAAATTGATTTTCTATAGCTGTTAGGATTGATATAGAGAATAGAAGAGTAGTAGAAGAGAGTTAGGGCTTAGGGGAAATACCAACAAAGGATCTACGAGCAATAAATCCAAATTCTTGTTCATTCTCCCTCAAAGAAAGCTCCTCCCTCCCTAATTTCTGACCTGTTGATGAGATGGCTTTGGAACTTCACACAAACCCTAACAATGGCTTAATATTAACAACTTACAATGATTGGTCACTGTAGTCGTATGAGACTACTAACAGCCCAAGCTGTGGTGTATAATCAACAGGAAATTAAGAGGATGAGAGGAGAAAGAGAAAAGAAGAGAAGAAGATTTCGAAGGAAGGATTTCAGAAAAGAAGAGGATACTTAATCTGTCATCCCCCTCTTTTCTATTTATATTAATTCTGAAGTAAGGATAAGACTGCTTACATGGCAAAATTAAAATCCTAATAAAAGACAACAATTGAAGTCCTAATAAAAGAC